AGAGAAAAAAGAACAGATGCATTCCAACATGGAAGGTGGGATGGATTCGTCTCTGATAACCCGCCCATTGGAATGCGTACCTCGTACACCTTGGTGTATTCTCTCTCTCTCTCTCTTTCGGTTTCACTGCACTCGGAGTGCATACCTACACACATGTACACACGCACGCACGCACCGCACGCACACACATACGTACACGCTGCGCATATTCGGCAGTTATTTTTAGAATAATTCTGACAGGCGGACATGTGGCAGCGTTTCGGATGCAATAACTGCCATCCGGGGATTTATTCGTCATGCAAATCGCGAGATAGGATTTGTTGAAGTTTATGACATCGGTTATAGCACTTTGATCTAATTGTTCATTTACTTAATTGCCACATGGTATTTTGATATCGAAATAAAATAGACGCAGAATACGCTATACGTAAAATGCATGCAAAGATCTATTAGAAAATAAATTTAATTTGCTTTATCTCTTGCACCTGTTTCTATTGTAAACTGAAGTTGAGATTAAAGATAGACTATAAATATTTTCTCTCAAAGGAATTGTAAACAAATTAATATATCTCTATTTTAATAAGTAAGCACATTTTCTCTAGCGATTAAATGTCAAAAATTTAGGTAGACGATTAGATAGGAAGTATCTTCGCACGTTGTACATTTCCTGGCAATCATGTATTTTTCGGCTGATGTACATAATGACCCATTTATCTTCACGAATGAATTAAAGTTACGGATTTCAAACAAAGTTTCACTCAAGTTGCAAATTCACAATTTTATCGTTTCTATGGATTTCTTTAATTCGTCTTAAATCGTCAAATTTTTAAATGAAGAAATAAGGGAGTTGCAAATAATTTTCTCGGCTTTTGACGAGATACGTACCGCGATAATAATCCTCGCATCTTCGAAAACGTATGCATTCCTTTACGCATTCATTAACCGGCTTTTGCATTGACGCTGCAATTATTTGCTGAATGAAAGCGATTGTAGCTGCGGACGGACGTGTCGCGTGCATCGGAACGAGCTTGGTGTACCTTGATGCACTCTACCTTTCGGCCGTCGAGTGTATATAACGACTCTAACGTGTTCGGGGACCTATTTTTAGACCGGCCCAAGATTATTTTTAGAAGTGGCCTGCCCACCGGCATCTTAACCCTGACTTACGTTCATGTCCCTATGTCTTCATGAATACCGGGACGATAGGGACACCGCGAAGATAGGTGGACCATTAAAGTGCATCAGCCGTAAGATATACGTTCGCCAAAAACTTTGCAAAATACGTGAGATGTTCCCTACCTGGCCTCTATGTTTGGCCATTCACGTGGATTTTTTACATTTGCGTGATTCATTAATAATAATTTGTGAAAAAATAAGACAACGCAAAAAGAGAGATAATTTTTAAATTATTCGCAGACTTCTTAACAATATGAATTTGTTTCATCTTATATCGCTTTACTTCAATTAGATACAATACTTGTTATATGATAAGAAATTTAACGATGTTTGAAAAATATGGTACTACACGTTGTACGTACAGAATATTACAATCGTAAATTTAACCATGAAGATTATTCCAAAGTTGTGTGCTTTAGACTGTTGGAGTTTATCGGAATCGAAGACGAAGCTGAACAGTAAACTAGGTATTACATCCAGGACGATGACGCAAGCTTGCGAGCTTCTATTTGCGGCGTAACTACACGCACAGATCAAACTGCTCTCAAACTCACGTTTCGATTTCGCGCTATTTGCGAGACGTTCCGTGCGCGAAGTTATCGAGAAGAGCAAGAATTAAAAGATTAAATCGTTAAAAAAATCTATGAATAATTAAAAAATTATTACAATAATTACATAATATAATAATAAAAAAGTATATTTCAATAGCAAAACGATTAAATTTTAAAAATCCAATGAATTTTCAGACGAAAAGAATGTACAAAAGTCGCTTTTAACAGAGAATTTATAAGGATCCAAAAAAAAGTAAAAAGACACGATTTTCAACCGTAGCATATAGAGACCATATATTCTTGAAAGTGACATTTTTATTATTATAAGCCCTTCCACTTTTTCTCTCCACACACTCAAAACTAAGTGAGAACAGAAAGACTTTCTTAATAACTTTCGAAACCCATGCGGCGAAGATTAAAGCAACGGTTTTAGTGCGACATTAAGAACATGGCAATCTATATAAAAACGACACAAAATGCTATTCGTCAATGTTATTTATCAGTTTATAAAACACTAAAATATTATTTTAATTGCTGTTAATTAATTTCTATATTTCTTTTCTATTACTAAAGAATTAAAAAAGAATATTTCTCTCTCTCTCTCTCTCTCTTTCTCTCCGTATATTTTCTTGATCTTAATCTTGATTTTCAAAAAAGCATATATTGCATAATGTCTTTGGTAAGCAACAACATATTTCTATAGCCACACAATTCCTTTCTTAATGTCCATTAAACTATTCCTCAACGTAATGATTCTGGGATACATGATTTGAATATATAATAATGAAAAATTGTTAACCTAATTTCCTTCGTTTGTAAAAATCATAAAATTAATCGTTACATTTTCGATTTATGGAATGCAAAACGTATCGTGTTATATTTCCAACTGCCTATGAAACGACCCACTTTTTGGAAAGGAGATGAACGAAATAATATCTATTCCGTCTAGATGTTTTATGAGAAGACGGCTGTCGTGCGACTCGCAATAAAAATAACGGCGATATATTATAAGATGTATTTATAGAAAGAGAGAGAGAGAGAGAAAGAGATCCTGGCCGCCTTGCTCGATCGTCTACGATTGAAGAACTTAAAGCCCATTAATTATTTCCGATGCTCTGCCAAAATGTCAAAGAAATCACGGCCGACTTGATGACAAGCCGCTCACATGATGTTTCGCTTCGTTACTCAATTATTGTCTTTATTGCTCGTCAGGCAATGACGAAATAATGCATTTATTTTATTCGATAACTAATTCTTCGAAATAAATTGTTACATTCAATGTCAAAATAATTTTTCGCAAAAGCAATAAACATCTTGCAAAGATATATATATATATATATATATAATTCTTTGAATACCGAGATAATTTTAAATCTGATTTCCATTTTTTATCTCTCGAATTATTTTCGTGTTCCTAAAATTTTCATTATATTTTTTTTGTTACATATAATAATTCAAACCTTACGTTCATTTCTAATTTCCTATACATAAGACATTATAGTTATATTTCTCTTACAAAAACAAATCAAATTAAATAAAATTTAAATTAAATGATTACAAGAGTTATTTTCTTTTTATTATATATTCGTGTATTTTAAAATTAATAACATTTAGTTCGCTCAGATTAATTCTTCGTTAATTTTATTCCTAATTATATTGATACGGCACACAGAAGTCTTTGTTAATATAGCCTTCATCATCGTCGTTGCAGTCGAGCTCGTAATTAGCTTGTTTGATAAGAACGCTAGTGAGATCGCTCGCAAGAAGGAGCGTTTTATTTTTTTATTTGAGTACTTCTGTTTCTCCTTAACATTTTTTACTACCCTCTTTTCGTCTCCTCACGTTGCCTTGCCGACAACGAGTCTCTAACGTGAATGGATGCACAGTGTCTGACATTCGAGGCGTAATGACGCGCGTGCACTTAAATATAGTGGCTCTGGAGTCTGGATACAAGAGAGAAGAGGAGAGATCTCTGATCCGACGGCATATCTCGTAAAAATAGACCCGAAATTCGAGACGACAGTTTTAAATATCGCTGTTAATCAATCCTTTAATTTTACTATAATCCGATTATAAAGCACATTTATACAAATTATACTACATTTGATTAACTTAGGATCAATTAAAAATTGTGTGTTCTTTTCATAAAGATGATACAAATGCATTAGAGAAAATAAATAAAACAATAAATTTATAAATCTATGAGTCGTTAATTCATAATTCAAATTATTTACCCTATTTATTTTATTTATATTTTGTCCAACTTGCGCGAATGTATTTCTTCGTATGTATTTTCTTCAAGCGACTATATAATATATAAAATTATATTGTAAATATATTTTATATTAAATTATTTTTTTTTTATATTCTCTCTCTCCCTCCAAGATAAAATTTAATAAATAATAAATTAAATAAATTATAAATTACTCACCTAACGCATACTCCGTCATCCCCCTGATGTCTCCCTGTGTGTGTGAGCCTCTTTTTCTTATCATATGCTGCTTCTTCATAACACAACACTCACGCAATACTCCTCGGACATACATTTATCTGCAAAATGCAAATATTCAAAGATATGATTTACCGATTGTTCAATTTATTTAGAGTATTATTTAAGATATCGATACTTATATATCAAAATAGATATTTTCTGCAATATATTCATTTATATTATTATTATTATTTAGAATAAAATATATACAAAATCTATATAATAAAATCTGCTCCTTTACCGTTATATTTTCGTACAATGTAAACGTACTATATTTTATTAACATACTCGTTAAGATCGTGAAAAAAATTAAATGCTTTTTAACTCGATATATTTGATATATATTTGATATGTTCGCAAAAACTGATTTTAATTTTTTGAGTAAGAGGAAATATGGAATTGAACAACAAACAAGAGAACAAGAGATTTTTTAAGAGAACAAATCAAACAAGAGATTTTTTAAGTAAATTATTTTTAACTGTAAAATAAAAATAAATTTAATAATTAAATACGTCCATGATTCCAACCAGATTTCATGATCATTTAATTCTGAACCTCGATTTAATTAAAAATTTTAATTACGCGCTGCCATTCCTAAATTTTACTGTTCTAAATTATACATATTTATGTATATGATATATAAAAATAATACATAATAATATTAGTGAATCTAAAATATAATTATAATGTATGGTTGCACGATCAAATTATATAATTATTTAGTGTCTATTAATTCAGATTTCTTTTCGATATAAATCTAAGTTAGTCTGCTTTTATTGCAGGTTAATAGCGGTTCTCCTGCGGAAGCTGCTGGTCTTAAAGCTGGCGATGCGGTTATTAAAGTCAACACCACTGATATGTATAATTTAAGGCATAAAGACGCGCAGGATGTCATAGTCAAGGCCGGAAATAATTTCGAAATGACTGTTCAAAGGTGAGAGCATGCTAAGCATAATAAAGTTCGCGATAAACGAATGATTCAATATTTAAAAATATTGCCACTTCGAAAGTTGACTCAAGCAGCAACGGTCTTTAATCGGCTTTACTGTCAATCAATTGTCAGCAAAAATATTATCGTGGCATTACTGATTATTATAAAGATGATCATTAATGATATGTGCATAACACATAAAATTTCTATTTTTTCGAAAGTTTATTTGCTTTTTCGATTTTTAGATATATTCTCGCGGTATCCAAGTATTATGATTTTATCAATAGAATGTTTTTGTAATATAAAACTACAATAACGTCTATAATTCTAAGTCCACCAACGTCTTCTAACGAACGATATAAATCATCATTACAGAGGTGGCAGTACCTGGAAACCGCATGTGGCGCCCGCAACCGCAAACCTGCCGTCTCCGATACATACCGCCCCCGCGGCTAACGTTGCCCCAGTCACAAAGACCTCTTTGGCAGCGAAGAAACAAGACGGACCTCTCATCGGTGGCGGACACAACTTTAGCCCCAAGCCATTCGTTAGTATCGACCCTTAATCCGCGTCTGTTTCCGCTGCACCGATTCTGCAACAAAAACATGAGAGGCGGTTAGTTATTTATTTCTCTACACTGTGTGGGACATAATAATTTTCAGCTGAACGGCACTAGCGACGGTCCAATTAAATCCATCGTGAATAAACAATACAACAGCCCCGTAGGAATCTACAGCGAGGAAACCATCGCGGAGACACTGTCGGCTCAAGCGGAAGTCCTTGCTGGAGGTGTCCTTGGGTAAAATCGCCAGATATAGCGAAGAGAGAAACAATTGATGGGACTAAAATATCGTTTTGCTTCAAAATCTTTTTCAAATTAAAATTACACAACCAAAAATGTAACAAAACTTATAATTAATATTCTCTCTCTCCCTCCAAGATAAAATTTAATAAATAATAAATTAAATAAATTATAAATTACTCACCTAACGCATACTCCGTCATCCCCCTGATGTCTCCCTGTGTGTGTGAGCCTCTTTTTCTTATCATATGCTGCTTCTTCATAACACAACACTCACGCAATACTCCTCGGACATACATTTATCTGCAAAATGCAAATATTCAAAGATATGATTTACCGATTGTTCAATTTATTTAGAGTATTATTTAAGATATCGATACTTATATATCAAAATAGATATTTTCTGCAATAAAAATGTAACAAAACTTATAATTATCGCGTAGAGAAACTGCGAATATTAATGCTGAAAAAATCTATATAAAAAAAAAATTCTTTACTATTTGAATATAATTCAAAAATAATTTTTATCTTATCTTTTAATCAATTAGTCTCATCAATCATTAAATTTGTCAATTTGATATAAAAATAATTGATTTATGACGCGAATATATTGTAGGGTAAATTTCAAGAAGAACGAGAAAAACTACAATGCCGAAAACAGTGAGGTTTTCAAAATGGTTCAAGAAGCGGACAAAGAACCAAAGACTCCGGAACCTGGTTAGTACCATTCATTTTACTTCGATGATATATGGTGTAACAGTTTCTTAAAAAGTTAAGATTAAGGATTATTAATGCACATATATAATTGTTCTTACCATACATATCTAAACATACATAAGTTATACAAGATCACTGAAGAGCGTACATTGCAACAATTCATGGTCGTTCATATATTTTTAATGTTAATTGCAAAAATTATTAGTCTATGATGCAATCTAAAAATGAACTTTAAATTCTTCGAAATATTGATGATTCTAAAATCTCATGATGTCAAAGTTTTCTGAAAAAATTATTTCAGATGAAATAATTTATTATCTACTACAATCATATATTGTTGCAGCTATAATTTTTCAATTTTTATGATCATTTTGAACTAGCTATAATTTGTGTATAAAACAATTATGTAAAAAATTGACTAAATAAATTGCAAGTTTTTTTAGCATCGGAGAATCAACGATAATTATATGTTGGAGCAATGGCTCTATTTTATTCAAAATCTATTTAAAAAATTGATGCGTTCTTCGATGATTGATCGACTGGACCAGAATCGGTTCCAGCCGGCCCATTGCATGCCCATACGATAACTTGTTTGCAAAATAGCGGAACCAAATGTCGTGAGCGGCGTGATAACACCGTCCTCGCCAGCCCTGGCAGGATTGAGGTCAGTCCAGGCACCGGAAACGAAGCCGCAGCCGTCGACGCCGCAGACAAGCTTACCACCAGGACAGAACATTTGTGCTGAGTGCGAGAGGCTCATCGTGTAAGTTTACATGATCCGGAATCTCAGCGCGCTTCTTTTATTTTCAGATAATAGATATCGACGAGAGGAAAGTAGTAGTGCCGGTGGTCTCCATTGCGTTCTACGACAATAACCACTTCCGCCGACCTGCGCCCGGATGTATATATCAAATGTCGTGCGGATTTCCAGTTCTCAGATTAGAATTTATCTGCGATTTGTAAAATTAATATTGGTTCAATTTAATTTATATTTTCTTAGTATTATTCTTAATTTTTTTTTAACCATAACTTGGAAAATTGTTTTTTAGTCTGAGAATTCAGAAATTCGCTCGCGTAAATTGGCGAACGCGATTGCCGAAGGGTTTCATCGAGTGATCGCTTCCGATCCGACATTTTTCCGGAACTGCCTAGTTGTCATGGCGTTTTTTCTCTACTTCCATGTCATAGTTCCTTCAAGGACAGAATTTTACTCCTCCGTGAGCCACGCGGTTGGCGGAAGGGCCACTTCACCGAGGTCACCCACGCCTCTGTTTCATGCTATGGGCGGGGGTGGTGGTGCACCTGACGGTAGCAGGCACCTCGTATGGCCGGATGAATCGAGGAATCAAACACCGCAACAACAAAAGCAGGAATCTTCCGCCGGGTCGGGGTCATCGACGCCGGGCGGGGTCGTTTGTAGCAACTGCGACCGATTGATCGTGTAACTATTTACGAGCAAGACTCTTGCCACCCTTGTGTGCACGAGACGGCCACAGCGGTTTTTTCATTTTGACGTCCTCGAGGTGTTCTTATATTGAAAATGATACGATATGATTATAATTCCGAGAAATTACTATTACTAATTTGGCAGTACGAGTTTTCAAACCATCGATATAAACTTTCAAAGATTAGCAATGTTAATCAAAGAAGCTCTTTAAATTATAAAATTTTTAAGTTATAGAAGTAATCTTAATCAAAACTCTGTGAAATATATAATTTTACTATTTTATCGAATTATTAATAAAAATTATCAATAATGACGATTTAATAAACTTATTGTAAGGTAAAAAAATATTATATTGATAAAAATTTAAATTAAGGTGGATGAGATATTGGTTCAATTGGGATATTTTTTTAGATTAATCTCTTCAGAATATCAATAATATATGTAGCAGAGTAGAGATTATAATTTATAATTTATTCAAAAAATAAAAGAATGCTGGCAAGTAAGAGTTAAGTACTATTGTTGAGGTACAATGTAGTTTAGCTCTTATTTGTCAACGGCGATATTCTTCCATTTATTGATTTATATTTAAGAGTTTTTTTCATTAAAATTTATAATTTAATACATATAAGTCGTAATCGTTTTCAGTTAGAATTATACGCCTCGTAGAATCGTCAAAAATTTTCAAAACCCACGCCGTTTTCAATTGCTCGATTATCGTACGCTAGTATCATCTGGAAGACTCCGATTCTAAGAAAAGTGTGCACCGTTTCTTTTAATTTTAATATAATCAGAATTAAATAAAACTATTCCTAGAAATATGCAAAGAAAGTTTTATTATTAGTAAAAACAGAAATATATATATATAATGTAAACATGCATAATATATTTTGGACGAATTATATATATGTATATATATAATTTGTTCAAAATATATAAAATAGAAAAAGAAATGATATATAAAAAATACGCGCGACAATTATAAATTATAAAAATTAGATTACACGAAAAAGTGCACATTTTTTCTTCAATAGATTCGGAGTACGTCTTTCTCTGCCGTTTCTTTTCGTCAACATCGCTTCTTCAGGAAAAGCGAATATATCGATCGTTGTGCATTTTTTGTCACTGCTGTGTCAGGACAAATTTCGATCATTTGTGATCATTCAAGCTTACAGCTTACAACCTACTGGAAGTCGTATCTAAATGAGATGAAAATTTCTCACTCGCTCGTAGCTTGAATGCAGCCCTATCTAAATGTCTCTTTACTCTCTGCACTCTTAATAGCACCTTTCCAACGCATTTACAGCACACTGAATGACTGTAGCAACGTAAAAAATGCTTTCGATGTTGTGAACATTTTTGTGGATTTTTATTTTTATAGTATTTTTATATATAAGTGAAGTCTTTTTGTAATATTTTTCTGATTTTTTTTTCACTCGGATAGTGAAAAACGTAATTTTTTTTACACGAAAACTTAGACGATATTTTACAGTCTCTCGACGAGGATATCTAAAATTATACTTCATTTTTTACACATTTTTTATAAATATTATAAAAGTTATATTAAAATATATTTATTTTTTTCCTAAAAGTAGAACAATTTTTTAATCTTGATTACTACAAAGTAAAACAATTTTTTAATCTTGATTACTACAAAGACATTATAATATTACTATTACAACTTTTTACACTATACACGAAATATTTATATACATCTTTTAGAATTAATTCTTTTATAATTAGTTACTCTTATTAATATTATTTTTGAAAATATTCACTTTGCTACAGAGATCAATTTTAGACATATTCTTTGTAGCTTTCATTCTTTGTAGCTCGTTTCATCGTTCTCATTCGTTGAACATAATTTTCATGGAGATCATAATACAGATAGTTATTTTCGGCCTCCTTCGTCGAGGTATCGAGTTTCCTCTATCTTCCTCTCTTTTAAACTCGAGTGAATAGTAATAAAATACAAAGCTCGTGGCACATCCGATGCGCCATCATTTCGCCTTTATTGTTGTTATATTAAAGAAAATAATTTTTTTTTACTGTAATGAAATGGAAAACGATCGCTTTATATTAATCTGCTTATTTTTCCTTAGAGGTGTCTTCGTCAGGATCAAGGATAAAAACCTGCACGTGGAATGTTTCAAGTGTTCGACTTGCGGCACGTCCTTGAAGAATGTCGGTTATTACAATATCAATAATAAATTGTACTGTGACATTCACGCGAAACTCGTTGCTAGGCAAAATGCACCGTCTGGTCTCGTACCCCTCACTATACCACCGTAAGCAATACAATAATATAATACATTTATTTTACGTGTTGCATACTGTAATTGAAAAGTTAAGATACGATTATACAAAAAATAAAAATAAAAATAAAACAATGGTTTTTTATATAAAAGAAATAAAAGTAAAATAAAAAAATAAATTTAAATACATGAGTAAAAAGATAAACTTCAATAATTAAAATAAAAAAAATAAATAATAAAATATTCTTTGTATATTCGACAGAGGTGGCAAAGCACCAGCTAGCACTATTAGCGCGGCATTGGCGAATGCACCTTTATCGCCGCCTCTCAGCAATCACGGATCGTCGCCTCAGCCATTCTCCGTAAGTTGCTTCATCATAATTTAATTCTCTTTATGAGGCATGATCACGGGCGGATTTTTTCGCGCACGCATTTTCTTGCCTGTTTTGGTATGGCTTATGAAGCGAGTATTTTGCATTAAGCGTGTGGCTTTGCTACACTCGCGCGTGATTTCATGGTGCTTTTTATAACCGCGAATCCAACGAAGGACAAAATTTTTCGCGCATTAACGATATTTTTCTCAAATCATTCTGAGAAAACAATGGATGTATGATGCAAGTCTGTTATCTTCTTTAAAAACTTCGAATTCGTTAAAAAGTCAATACTATACATATAATCCGTCATGATAATCATTCTATTCAAAAGTTCAAGTTATTTATTTATTATATCAAAGTTAATTATTAAATCTATGAAAATTATTTCTATATATGATTAATCAAACATTTAATATGTCGAATATTTCAAACATTAAAATCACATTTACTTTTAACATTCGAAATAGATAAAAATAACTAAAGTGATTAACTAGATATAAAATTTTTAATAAATTATAAATTCGTTGATCATTATAAATTTACGATAATCGCGTATCATATATCGCAATTGATTTATTTTCGACGAGGATACGTGCTTATTTTGAGAATTTAACAAGTGTGGTCTTTGCTTGGCACTAATCGCTTTTCCAGGCGTGCAATCGTACGAGCCCCGATTCCGGATCTCAGTATACGTGGCGATCGACCTCGAATATGAATGGATGTGTCAGGAACAGCGAATGCAACGGCGAATCAAAAACGTTCACGAGTACGATCACCATCCAAACAGGTGGCACAGAGGTTGGCAACATGCTTGAAAACTCGATTTCTATATTTGCTCTTGTTAAAGTACCTCTAATATCCTTTCATCATAACTACTTTACATAAAGCTACATTCTGTGAAAATCATCAAATAAAAACTGACTGATATTTTGTTTAAAAGCATTAATATTTTGTCAATTTTATATAACATTACATATAACATAAAATATCATTTATTATAGTATAAAATTTAGAAACAATAGTTGTGATTCAATTTTTATATCTAGTGTCTGATACGCGTAGCGAAAAACGTATCGATTCATTTTTTTAAATAGAAATGAACATTAATAGTCATATCGTTTACTGAATCAAATGTTAGTTACGAAACGGATCGATTAGTCACCGATGCGTCATTTCACCGAAATGTCCTTGCAAGCATCAGCTTCCTCAGCGATTACTCTAGTTTGACCATCCAGTTATTCTAATCTTTATATCGCGATCGATTATTTCGATCTCATGACTAATTAGCCTGTCGTAATCGGGAGCATATCTAATGATGTTTCTTTCTTCCCTTTTTGCCCTCTCTTCGTCCTATTCATTTTTAATTGTTCGTCCCACGTGACATCGATGTATCGTTTTATCGCATTGCAGCCTACCACCCGCCTTGGCACCTCGCCCGTTGATCCACCCAGCTTACGATCAGTTCAGGTAAAGTCTTAGTACGATTCGTAACGCTCTCGTCAATCTCCTCGATCGCCCTTCAAGATCGTCAGTATCGCGATGATAAAAATCAACGCTGTATGAGACATTGTTGCTTTGATATAATATCGCAAAATTAATTCGAGTTTTCGTCATTGAGAAATCAAAATAAACTTTAAAGTGATGCCTGTTTGTGCGATTGAAAATTGTTAATTATGAAGCTTTTTCATATTTCGATCACAGTGTATCTTTTTTCCCTATTGTCATAAAAGCATGAAAAGTTAAAATTTGGAACTATTAAATTGTTTTCCTCCTTTTACGCATGCTGCGCGCACGCGTGTATATATAGAGAATACATTTTAATTTATTTAAATCTCTAAATTCACACACATACCCACATAAGTATTTTTATATGTATATTTACCAAGTAATGGAATTTTATAATAATTAATAATTTAGATTAAATGCTTTAATTTGATTTAATTTATTTAAAAAGCCAAAAAATATATTTTATTTTTAGAAAAATAGTATTTTCTGAAAACTAATAATATATGTGCGCATGTTTTTTATACAGTTTTGTGGTTCTAAACAAATAAAAAAAAATTTTTAAGCGATAACTATCATGTTATTTGCGGTAATTATTTTTTCTCAAAGATGTCATGCGTCGACAATCAAAATGTATGCAGTTGCTTGTATGTGATTTTCCTACCGGAGATAATACTTTTAAGCGTAAGGGAAAAGTGCGAAGTTTTTTGAACTTTGCGCGATATGATATACTGACTAACTGTTGCACTTTTACATTAGTATTAGACGGTATCAAAGCACCAAAATCTCGTACAATTCTCGTTATTCGATATCGAAAAAATTTTGCAATCTGTTAATTATATGAATATAATTTCACTTTATTTTCTACTAGACAAAATAAAAAAGATAAAAGATTTTTTTCTGATTTAATAAATTATTAAAATGTCACGAAACGAAAACGATTATTTAAATGTCACGAAAACGTCCCATTTCTCGTATAAAAATTGCACCAAAATATATATTACAATGAATGTAATTAAGAGAATGCTTGTGAATCCATAGGCACCAACGAGCAACAATCTCATTGGTCCCAAACCCTTCGGTGGATCGACTGGTTTTTCATCAAATCTGTCGCCGACTCCAACATTAAATACCGGTAGCAGTACTTTGCCACGTCCTCAGAGCCAGACTGTGACAGGTAAGTCGATATGACTATTAATATGAAAAAGTCCGATGATAAATTTTAAAAAATTGGTGCAAGAGTGATAGAAATTTATTTATCGTATAAAATTGATGTTGGGTGACATCAAAATTACACGAAATCCATGCGTAAATCTATTTGTATAATTCAGGTTATATAACATCACATGCAAATATTTATTACAAATACAAAAATAGAAATTATAAGCAAATGTGATGAAATATTCAAGGTATTTAAATATATATTAAAATCCCTAACACTTTTTCGATAAGTCGAAATATTTGAATCACAAGCATTAACGAGTAGAGGAAAGACAGCCTCCTTCTATCGTCTTCTTTTTTAATTTCTTTTTTTATTTGAAAAAATTGCGTCGTTCTCATCTGAAAAATTCGAAGAAGTAATCTTGTAATCGGCCCAAGTTAATCGCGATCTCATTTCGTGAGTCCTTGGCCTAACTCCGCCTTCGATTCTTGTAAATAGGTCGATACTCTACCCTGCCAAAGCCAAAAAGTTCGCCTTTCAGAGGTACGACGAATAGATTAGAGCCGCCGGGTGACCGAGTTTCGAGCTTTGGCTGATACGCCTCCCTTGGCTTACATCCTCACGTTTTATATCACTCTTTCTCCTTTGCACGCAGCTCGTATATCGATCGATCGATCAATCGTTGGTTCTTGGTGGTTCGTATCATAATGTTTCTTCAAGTAGAAAATAAAGATGGGAGATTCTCTCCCAAATTCAATCATCGGAAATTTTCTCGGCTCCTTATCGTTCGTCGTTATCTTGACGACGACGGCGAACTCTGAGAGCTATGACAGTTTGTAGCGACCTTCCGATATGCACTTTGATCCCTTTATACTCTCACATTTTAGAAATTTTCACGATGCACTTGGAAAATTGTTCTAGATAGTTATATCTTAATAATTTTAAATTTATAGCATGAAAGCAAAAATTTAAATTAAAAATTGTTTAAAGTGAAATTGAGAATTTATTATTTAATCATAATATTTATAAGCATGATAAGAAAGTGATAAAAGCTCTCTTTTGTAATTTTTCTTCCCTTTTAACTATTTTTATATAATATTTATGTATACGTATATAATTCCCCCCTCTTCCTTTTAAAAAGTTCTTTTCGTATTATATTTCCAAGAGTAAAGAGAATTTTAACAATATTATTTCTCTAGAAAAAAAAAAAGAAATTTTATATTATTAATCTTATATCAAAAGAATTTTTGTTTTATTATTATATTTGAGAAAATGTTAAGACCATTAGTAGCAACTTTTTTCGACAATAATCAATTACCACACGTTCCTTCGTAAGGTTTCGTTTCGCGTTAATCATACCTCTCTTCCCGTGCATAATCTTTCTTTTATCTTTTTTCAGCCGGTCCGTCTTTCAACCCGAAACCTAGACCCTTCTCCCTCACATTCGCATGAATCAATAGCTCTCGATGCCGCCGTCGTCGTCGTCATGCTGGCAACCAAAACGCAAACACAAACCAGACGATAAAAGTGCCAGGCTTTAAAAACCGATTACGTTGCTCATGATTTTTCTTTCGAGTCCTTTAGAAATCTTTTAATGCTTCTCAATTAAGGAATGAGAAAAAAAAAAGAATTTTCTCTAGCTGTTTATAATACGTATTAATAGTTTGTCATCGTAATATTGCCATGCCATTGAATGCTCTTTTATATTCAAAATTATTTCCGTTTTATTTCTTTTGAGACGCGAAAAATGAAATTATGAGTCAGCACATACACTTGATGATATTCTTAAAATAGCGCTTGATGACAATTCATATTGTCATCAATCCAGAGTATTGGATGAATAAATGCAGATGTAAAATAAAGTACACGTTCTTCATTGAACGAATGCACGTCTTTGATATTTTCATTGTGCCATCGTTTTTTTCAATACTCGGTGATGCGAATTGATACTTAATAGCGTTTTTCTTCTTCGCTTCACATCGATGCTCACAAAATGCATTCAAGAAGTACCGATGCTAATACGCATTATCTTCGCAGAATCTTTTTGCTACTTACAATTGATTTAAAACTGATGTTTAACACTCGCAGGCTCGCAGCTTTCACGCTGCTCTATTTTCGAGTGTCAAGTGACTTTTAAGAATGCACAGTTCCTGACTTAGACACTAATGATTGAAAACCTACAAAGATTTTTTCAAAGACTGAATTTTTATAATATCTTATTATATCGCTTCTTGTTCTTAATTTAGCATCGAGCTGTGCTCGTGGTTTTCTTCCATCGAAAATAGCCAGATCAAAATGAAATTTTTTAAGATATGTGCACACGCTATAAAATATGTATAATAAATATCTTTAATA